TAAAGGCCTGTAAAAAAAAAGTGCGTGTTCGATGTGAAGTGGTCATTTTTCTGGGAAATATTTAGATCTAGTTCTGATTCCTTATAGATCCAAACTGACGGAACTTCTCTACTCATGACTGCCAAAGGTCTTGGGGGATCCTAAGAATTCTTTCCATGCCTTGTGCAGAACTTACGAAACGTCTGGGATGGTGAGTTTGTGGAGAGGTAATGTTCAATACAAAAAGCTCTCTGCTCTTTACTAAACTTAACCATGATCTCAGCAGGCAAACGAAATTTGGGAACACAATATCTGCAGACCTCTGTAGACTTGTTACACTGTTGAAGCTTGCAATATGGCGCGATTGTTGCAGCTTTTCGTGGTAGGACTAATGCGAACTGGTGCGTCATGCTACGAAAATGGCGACAAGGTTATATGATGCGCCATATAGAGCAAAACCATTCAATGGATTTATTTTATCTGAAAGGAATACCAGACAAATTCCCTTTGGCTTCCAAAGATTATGTTCCAATCTGAAACCCAAAATGTCAGTATGGAGGAAGATATTTACCGGGCCCATACTCGTGAGATAGCGGGTTCGGGGTTTTGAACCTCAGCTCGGTCCGACGTTGTGTGGTTGGGAAAGGCATTTTACTCGATTTCACATTTGGCTCTGTCCTTTCGGAGACGGACGTTAAACTCGTTTTTACAGATTCCCATTTTGTCACCTAAAACTCTATCGTAAGTTGTTATGTTGGATGTTACACTCTCTGTGTTTGATGCAGTCCCTTTATTTTGTATACCCTATTGTAACGACCGACATATCATTTGTTTACACAAATGTTGTGGTCTTCAGATTTACATGCAACGTGTATGTATTGGACTCTAACTAACCCATGTTATGATCCTGAATGCGTTCAAATTTAAGCCCTGAGGTCAGGTGCCAGTAACAACGGAGAATACACAAAGAGATAAATATACTGCCCACATACCGAAACCTTGAGCAACAAATTCCTCACAAGAAAAGAAAAGAAAATAGCAGCAAAACTACATGTACAGCTCCATGACTAAAAACTCTTGATTCTGTGTGCCAATAAACTAGTAAAACATTCTCTACAGCATCTTTTGTTGTTGTTTTTTCAGACAGTAATAATTTATCTATTATGTTCTAGAAAACAAAATGCTAGCACTAAAACTGCATGTTCAGCTCCATCACAAGAACATAGATCTCCTGAGATGATGAACATGAAATTCCACAAAAACCTTAACGTCAGCCAACCCCCCCCCCCCCCCCCCCCCCCCAAAATTTTTTGTGCTTTTCAGAAGACAACAAGGGAGGGGGGTAAATAACTGCGGGGATGGCAAAATGCGTCACTTGTTCTCCAAAGGTTTCCAAAAAATTATTAAATTATAACAAATTGATACAGTCTCTGCGCTGACATTGAGTCACCCGTTAAAGAGTTGTTTCAGGATAAATTTTTACCACATTGTAGTTTATTTCTCTCTGTTGGCATCATCGTCTTTTCCCTCTCAGTTTCCACGGGCTTGGGACCGTCTCAGAGTACTCTGTACACCAAGGCCTGATTAAAAAGACGGCGCTACCAAGCGCTCACGTCTGGGTTATGTTAGTCGTTAGTGAGGTAATGAATGTTAGTGTTATGGGTTATGTTAGTCGTTAGTAAGGTTCGGAATGTTAGTGTTATGTTAGTCGTTAGTGAGGTAATGAATGTTAGTGTTATGTTAGTTGTTAGTGAGGTTATGAAAGTTAGTGTTATGGGTTATTTTAGTCGTTAGTGAGGTTATGAATGTTAGTGTTATGTTAGTCGTTAGTGAGGTTATGAATGTTAGTGTTATGGGTTATGCTAGTCGTTAGAGACGTTCTGAATGTTAGTGTTATGGGTTATGTTAGTCGTTAGTAAGATTCGGAATGTTAGTGATATGAGTTCAGTCAGTCAACGAATTGAATGCTAAAATCATTACATTAGTTTAACTTGGGAAAGTTAGTAAGGTTAAAAATAGCAATATCCTGGGTTGGATTAGTCAACGAATTGGGTGTTAAGTTCAGTACATTGAGCAAGACAAAATAAGTTAGATCTACAGTTGGTATTCTAATGATTATTAATTAAGAAGTGGTTAATGAAACAGCCAAAATCAAAAGTGCCGACTAAACCAGACGCTGCCCCCACAGTTTTTGGAATAGTTACGGCTCGTTAGTAATACATTAGAGAAAACACGGACAAGAAATAACGAGAGAAAAATCTACGTATTAATAAATAGAACCTAAGCTTTTTAGTTACTGTGAGACAACTGTGTTAGAAAAGTTAGATTAGAGAAAATGTTGAGTCCACTCTGAAGGTAGCAAGTCCTCCCTCAGTGGTTCCAATGGTAACTGCTCACTAGCGACACGCGCAAGTCCTCGCCGACAGCACGTGATCATTTCAGCTGTGGCGCACAAACGTGATACTTACCTTGGTTCGTCCTCTACACCTGCTTTCTGTCATTCTTTCTTCTCCTTCACTCCATCCTCCGGTCCAAGTGTTCTGTCATCGGTTTTTCTGTCGTGGTACAAAACACGGGTCACGTGTGGTTGAGGGGAACAATTTCTAAGGAAATATTAGTATTAGTGTACTTCGAAAGAAAACAAAAATCAATTAGATTTATTAGATAAACGAAGCGGGAAAACGACAGGAAAACTAGGAAGCAACTTTTGTTAGTAAGTCGGAAAAAGAAGGAAGAAAGAAAGCAAAAAATAAAACATGCAACTACAGCCCTTACGCTCTTTACAGAGAGTCTATGGTTACCCTGAACTACTCAAAGCGCTCACGCAGGAATCCTAAGAGGTCGCAGACAGAATGTCGGTGTCGTGGGTTGTTCTGCACAAGCCTGGAGAGAACGAATCTGTGGAGTAGGCAATGACATTGAGGTTAGCAACCGACGAACTCATGGGAGAGCAAGTACATGGTAAATGAACATTTCTAGAGCTGCTAGGCGGCAAACAACGAGCAACAGGGTACTAAATGAACAAATTTCATCCTTTTAAAAACTAGAAATCAACATCAGTGATGATAACAGTAAAGAGAGCTGAACAGGTTTCCCCTCAAAAGGTAAGAAAGGTAAGAAAGGGCCTAAAGAAACCAAAGTATGCCGTGTTACCTGTAGAAGCCCAAACGAGGCAGCGGGGTTCTGTTGGACTCCAAAACTGGCAGAAAATCCTCCCAGTCGCCAGGTACACGTTTGAAGACCAGACACCATAGCGTGGCTCCAAGTGCGTAAGCGTCACTCTGCAAAATGACCAAAAAATACCGTTTGTCAGAGAGTGAGCAAATTGTACCTAGCATGAGCAGCACATTTGAACTGCAGCATACAAGGACATTCACATAGCACGCAGGAAGAAGATAAGGCTGGTAAACAAGGAGATAAACTAAGAGCATATCAGAAAACACAAACAAACTAATTATAATAATAGATAGCATTTGTATAGCGCATATCCCCACCCAACAGCAGGCTCTATGCGCCTTACACTATATTATTACCCCAGCAGACCATAGAACACTCCGAAACATTCTCAGCTTCCCGGGAAGCATACAGTGAAAGCAGCTGATTAAGCGCTCAAACACTAACAAACTGACAAGATCTTTCGCTGTCTATAGCTGGGTACCCATTCCCACCTGGGTGAAGTGAGGAAAATTCTTGTAAAGTGCCTTTCCCAAGGACACAACGTCGGGCCCTTGACGGGATTCGAACCCACGACCTTACGGTTGCGAGTCCGAGAGCCTAACCACTAGGCCACCGACGCCACAACTAAATCATAGTACAGTCAAACAATTGAGGGAAACCATGTATATAGCCTGAATAAAAGAAAATCACAGCGGAGACATTTTAACTCTAATTTTAAAACAAAAACATTGCAAACAACAACAACAACAACAACAACAACAACAACAACAACAACAACAACAACAACAACAACTACTACGAAATCGATAAAGGAACAAAAAACAACAACAGAAAGATCAAAAACTGACAAATAGACAAAACAAACAAGCAAACAAACCTGAAAACAACATTAGATTTAACAAATATTCAAACTCACACACAAACAAGCTCACTGATAAGAAAAGTGTGCAGTTACTCATCAGAAGTGAGTCTACGGTGACGTCATCAAACTGGATCTCTTAAACGAGAAAGCCATTTGTTCCAAGTATGCTCCAGCCTCTCACTGGGTCTTGTCCGTGGGCCAAGAAGCGGGACATCCCCAGGTCGGTGAGAATAGCGTTGTTGGATTGTCCACGAAGATGTTGCCGGGCTTCACGTCCCCATGAACAGCGCACCTATTGTGAAGATATCTCAGTGCACAGGCGGTCTGCACGAAGCAGCGCTCTATCTGCTCCTTGTTTAGACTGTGACGTGCATCGTGCAAAGATTCTCGTGAGCACAGAGGCAGGCAGATAGCTACAAAGCCCTTGCACCTCACCGCCCAGTCCATCTTCGTGATGTGCGGGTACGAGACGTTGCCCATGAAGCTGATTTCCTTGAAAATCTCACGCCAGCTGTCGCGGCCTTGGCAGTCGGTGAGACCTATCTTCTTGATGACCTTGTGAATGGAGTCGTTGCCTTCTTTTGCCACTTCCAGAAATTTGACGGGCATGATCGTCTTCTGGTACAAAATGCGCACCGGCTTCATCTTCACAGACGACCAAAAATCACAAAAAATGAACAGCGCACCTATCATGAACTACAACACTTTCCATACCTGAAAATACACGAGAGATGTGCAGAAATGATACTCAGGTACACTGAAACAGCAACGTCTTCTTACTACAAAAGCAATAAGGTCAACTGGAAGATGTTTTGGGCTGCTGGCTTTATATTCCCTACCGCTCCTCCCTTTGTCCCTACCGATTGTTTCCGTCTCTCTAGGTGTGAAACAACATGGCCGTAAGTGTGAAACAACACTGGAACGGTCTTTGTTGCGATGACTAACCTTTCCATTTTCTCCTGTCGACCAGTGTTCCCAACAGATGGGCGTCGTTAGCCGTATGACAGAAGAGCAGCCAGAAGAGCGACACGTGCCCAATATAACCAACTACCTTTTGTTGACATTAAAACTGAAGCTCCGAGGTCAGGTGCCAGTAACAACGGACAATACACAAAGAGATAAAGATACTGCTCACATTCCAAAACCTTGAGCCAGAAATTCCTTACAAACAAAGAAAAGAAAATAGCGGCAAAAATACATGTTGAGCTCCATGAACAATATCTCTTGACTCTATGTGTCATTAAACTGGCAAAACATTCTCTACACATTCTTTTCTTGTTTCTTAACAAACAGTATTAATTCATCTCTTATCTTCTATCCTGTAAAGGTCAACAAACTACCAATAATATTTTGAAGCTTTCATTAGCTGCATTAGCCTATTGACTGTGGCATCTGTGGCCGTGTGGTTTGGTTCTAGGAATCAAAATCTGAAATCAAGAGCAAGAAATTTCTTACAAGATAAGAAAATACTACCGGTAAAACTACATTTTTGGCTCCATCACTAGAACATAGCTCTCCTGAAAATGATGAACATGAAATTTCAGCGAATATTTTTACGACACGGTTACAAATCAAACAAAATGTGAGGCTTTTAGAAGGACGAGAAGAGGGAAAATTTAAGGAGACAGCAAATTGCGTTTAAAAAAAAGGTGCGAATATCTACTGTGTCTGTATGCCGGCAAAGGGTTGTTAAAAGTTGGGTTTATTTTCTTTTTTCTCATGTTGTTGGCTCATTGAACCTCTTAAAGAACGGCAATGTTGCGCCGATGATTTCCCTTTCCATTCTCTCCTGTTGACCAATGTTCCCAACAGATGGGCGTCGTTAGCCGTGTGACAGAATAGCGGCCAGCGGCTCATCAGGACTCATTGTGACTGCAGAGCCATAGGTAGAAATACAACTTATAACTACATGCTGAAGGCTTTCAAAGAGAGATAAACACTTGAACGACACGTGCCCAATGTAACCAACTACCTTTTGTTGACGTTAAAACTGAAGCTCCGAGGTCAGGTGCCAGTAACAACGGACAATACACAAAGAGATAAAGATACTGCTCACATTCCAAAACCTTGAGCAAGAAATTCCTTACAAGCAAAGAAAAGAAAAATAGCGGCAAAACCACATAAGTTCACAATCATGACTAATTTCTTTTTATTCTCTGTATCAATAAACTGGTAAAACATTCTCTATTGCATCTTTTCTTGTTTCTTATCAGACAGTATGAATTCATCTCCTATCTTCTATCCTGTAAATATCTACATCAATAATATTTTGAAGCTTTCATTAGCTGCATTAGCCTATTGACTGTGGCATCTGTGGCCGTGTGGTTTGCTTCTCGGAATCGAAATCTGAAAAAATGAACAAGAAATTTCTTACAAGAAAAGAAAATACTAGCGGTAAAACTACATTTTCATCTCCATCACAAGAACATAGGCTAAATCTCATGAGATGATGGACACTTTTCCTCACTTTTTTGTTACATTTTTATGCTTGGTTCACTAATCTTCTATAAATGAGGTTATTTGTAATTGTAGAGAAATTAGATTTTAATTTTATATGTGATTAGGAATAATAGTGCATACTAATATGGTACTGGAACTTTTGAAGGAACAAACCCTCAAATTACACAGTGACATTTTTTTAATGTGGTTTTTTTTTCAAAACTTTTTTTTGGAAAAAACCCTTCATCACTAACACCTAAAAATCTGGGCTACTTATCAAGATAATGTACTGAAACTTTCCAAGTATGTGCACATTTGGTAATTGATTTTAGTTATATTTGACAAAATTTACGAATATTTCAGAAATCTCAAATTTGAAATTGATTTTTTGTTTAAAATTGGTACAAAAAGGGAACATTACTTTGAAATCCTCGGAAAATCCAGAATATTCGAAGTATCCCCCCCCCCCCAAAAAAAAAAAAAAAACCCCAGCCAGGTACCTATAACTATTATTAATATCTTGATATTTATTATAAAAATTAATAATGCCTTTTGGTTTTCAAAATTTAAAGATGTTCCAAAGTAAGGCCTATTGTATAATTTCAATATGGCCACCGTTGTTGCATAACACTTCGGGATAATTCGTTTTTAAGCATTTAATTCACATATTGGGAAAGTTTGGTTTCAAAAGGTGCATAAATAACGAAGATTGCATTTCTCGGTAGCTAGACCCCTTGGTAGCTTGATTATAATTTTTCCCACAACAATTGCTAGATCTAGAATCAAAAACTTTCGTCATAAATACTAGGCTATAAATCTCCGTCACACAAATTTTGAATTAGCATGGCCAAAGTCGGTTTCTAACCAATGATCAATCTTTAAAGGCAAAACTTGTTACAAAAATATTATTTTTTTTACTTTCATAGCGTAACGTACACTTGTTTTTGTACTGACGGTTCTCAAAACATGTTCGATAAACACAGTGTCGCGATTAGAACAAAGGACAGACTTGCTTTTTAAAATAACTATACAATTATTATCCCAGCTCATGGATGAAGATCTAGGCTAAAATTTTTGAAAATAATCTTGTTGGAACCACCCATTTGAATTTTTTATAAGTGTTCATAAATGATTTTTCTAGAATAAATAAAGCAATAGGTCTTTACAAAATGTTGATCTGTTAACACAAATTGATAAAAGTCATTGTGCAAAATCTGGAAAGTTTAGATCTACATGTATGTTGGATAGTTGAGGAAATATTTGACAATAAGTTGTGCCACGAATTTTTGACCGTCCAGATCTATTTGTTTCGTATGAGTGACGGACAACAGGATTGGCCAACATTTTACGTCTTCCTTGTCGATTATACTTTTAGAATTTTGTCTTGCCGGCTTGCATTAGATTTGGAATATGATTAAATTTTAATAGTTATACAATAAATGATGCATATTAAGATTTTTTTCTATTCCTGGACGTAAAAACCCTTGAAATTATGATTTTGGTAACTTTCAATTTCTGTTCTGAGTATTATGTAGCTTCAGAGTATCTTTCCCAACTAGATGAAGTCGCCAAACTGGTTTCGCATCCGATTATCTGTCTATAACACACTGCGTTTTCTGCTTCCACTTCCGGTGTCCTCAGTCCTCTCAAGCTCTTGGAACACAGCAAGATGGTTTTCGGTCAGGCCTCAAGAATTGTCGCAAGGAGGTTTTCTACCTCTGCTGTAAGAAATAGCCAAGAATGGCAGCAGACTGGAATTCCTGGAACGGTAAATATACTTTTCTTTCATGCTGATATACACACATGAGCATAGTATTTTTATGAAGGGGGAGACCTCTGCCTACGTGCTGCTGTTCCTCCAAAATCTTTTTTTTAGTGAAGGTCAAAAAAAGGATTTGTAAGGATTTCATTATCCAGATAATAAATATCTTTCAGGTTTGTTTTTATGGACTGAATTTAATCTAGGGTGGGTACATTGCATTACTTTACTGTGGTAGGACAACCAAATTTTTGTCTCAAAGCCTTGCTTGTCTTCTCTGTCCATGCTGAGGAGACAACAATTTTGCTTTTTTGGGGGGCCACCTCTATTCTCACCCGGAGTGAGAATAGTGCAGGCGAGTCTTGTGGCTATTCTCACCCGGTGCGCGTTCACCAAATTTTGCGTTCACCCTAAACCACAGAATTCTACACTGTGATAACAGAAAAATTGTAGAATTCTGTGCCGTGAACAAACGTTCCATTACAACTGTAGCCTACTTAAAGCGTACAATTTTGTCTGTGGGCAGTGGAGAGAGAGAGAGAGAGAAAGAGAGAGAGGAGTAGCGCGAGAATTTCCGGGCAAAACAAAATGGCGACCCGCGTAGTTCGGCTCGATTCGAAAAGTTAAATAGCCGTAGCATCTTTGTAGACAAAAAAATTTACTTTTGTGTTTTAACATCATTTTTTAACTCTGTTTTGGTCAATTTGATCGTCCACACCGATAGACAGTATTCAGAATGAGACAGAGAGAGAGAGAAGAGGGGAGGAGTTGATCTTGCGAGAACTTCCGGGCGGGTGAGAATAGCCACTTTCTTTTTGGGGGGCGCGGCGCTTTTTCGGTAGCCTATTTGCCATCCCCCTATTATTCGCCGGTTTTGGCCCCAAGAATAGGGGGCAAGCCCCCCTGACCAGTTCTAAATCTAATAAAAATATGGCAGCACTAGATCTAGATTCTATCTAATCTAGTTTATAAATTTGCAACGAAAGTGGCTATTCTCACCCGCCCGGGAGTTCTCGCAAGATCAACTCCTCCCCTCTTCTTTCTCTCTCTGTCTCTTTCTGAATACTGTCTATCGGTGTGGACGATCAAATTGACCAAAACAAAGTTAAAAAAATGATGTTAAAACACAAAAGTAAATTAATTTGGTTGTCTACAAAGATGCTACGGCTATTTAACTTTTCGAATCGAGCCGAACTATGCGGGTCGCCATTTTGTTTTGCCCGGAAATTCTCGCGCTACTCCTCTCTCTCTTTCTCTCTCTCTCTCCACTGCCCACAGACAAAATTGTACGCTTTTAGTAGGCTACAGTTGTAATGGAACGTTTGTTCACGGCACAGAATTCTACAATTTTTCCTCACAGTGTAGAATTCTATGGTTTAGGGTGAACGCGCACCGGGTGAGAATAGCCACAAGACTCGCCTGCACTATTCTCACTCCGGGTGAGAATAGAGGTGGCCATTTGCAACACCGTGTTCTGAAAAGCTCCCATGCTATACTATAATTATTGGAAGGAAGTGGCTATTCTCACGGGGGGTGAGAATAGAAATACGATCTACCTCTCACCCCGGGTGAGACTTGCCAGCGTAGGCTATTCTCACCCTGTGTGAAACAAGACCTGTTTTTCCTCATTTTAGAATACTGTATCGGTGTGGATGATCAAATTGATAAAAGCCAAGAAAAAATTACGTCATAGCACAAAAGTAAGCTAATTTGATCGTCTTCAAAGATGCTATGGCTATTTCACTTTTCGAATCGAGCCAAACTACACGGGTCGCCATTTTGTTTTGCCCGGAAGTTCTCGCAAGATCTTCTCCTCCCCTCTCTCTCTCTCTCTCTCTGTCTCTTTCTGAATACTGTCTGTCGGTGTGGACGATCAAATTGAACAAAACAAAGTTAAGAAATGATGTCAAACAAGAAAACTAAATTAATTTGGTTGTCTACAAAGATGCTGCGGCTATTTAACTTTCCGAATCGAGCCAAACTATGCGGGTCGCCATTTTGTTTTGCCCGGAAGTTCTCGCGCTAGGACCTACTCCTCTCTGTTTCTCTTTCTCTCTCTCCACTGCCCACAGACAAAATTGAACACTTTTAGGCTAACACTAACAGTAGTAATAGATCTAGAACGTTTGTTCACAGCACAAAATTCTATAATTCTGTTATCACAGTGTAGAATTCTGTGGTTCAGGGTGAACGCTTCACTGGTTGGCCTAAGCTATAACGGTGAACGCCCACTGGGTGAGAATAGCCAAAAGACTCGCCTGCGCTATTCTCACCCGGGGGGAGAATAGAGGTGGCCTTATTGGAAACGCCGTATTCTGAATAGCACCTGTGCTATTTGAAACACCAGATCTAGATCTAGATTTTTAGATCTAGTAGCCATCGTGGCACCATTCTACATAGATCTAGGTCTAATAATTTTGTAGTATTGAATGAATTGTGGAAGTATTTTCAGTTTCTTGGTAAACCTCCGAGGATTTGACCCCTTTTTATGACTTTGTCTTATTCCGATCAACGATTCTTTTGAAAGCAAAACGGAGTGTCTACGTACACGGTTACCGGGCACCTAGTCTCAGTATCTGCGTAACGGTAAACAGAATGAAAATAAATCAATATTTGTCCTGTGCTGTCACTTGCTGAAGAAAAAAAAGAAAGTCATTCAAGCGTCTTGTCGGGCTCGCCATCGTGACAGGTCAGTGAACCTATGCATGTGCATCACATTGTGAGTACCGAGGGGTCACCAAAGTTCATCAAAGTCTGTGCGCTGCAAAGTATAGGGCTCCGGAATGGGGTGGGGGGGGTGGAGATTATTTTTTTTTTTTTTTTAAGGTACAGTTGGGGAAGGAGTGGGGATAAAGGCAACACTGGATTACAAAAACTGGACTTGGAGTTCTGAACTGCCTGGTTACCGTGTTCGTGACACCAGAGAGTATTTTATAGTCTCTGCTGCCGCTGAGACTACATGCCCGGTTGCCTGTTACCGGGTGTAACGTAGATATTGAGGCTACATGCCCGGTTACCGTGTACATGACACTGTGACCTGGTGCCCGGTTGCCGTGTACATAGACACTGAAGCTAGGTGCCAGATTATCGTGTACGTAGACACATGTAGATTCTTGTGGGATAAAAGACAACACTATCGATGTTTTCACTGCAGCTACCGTGCGTTTCGTGTATTGATTTTTTAAGTGACCTCGATTAAACAGGAACGGGGAACTATGGTATTAAATACTGCAATCTAATTCATCGATATTTCAAGATGAGAAAACGCTCTTTCCGGTGATATATTTCTTCTAAAGACTGTCCTTAATGAATTGATAGAAGAGATTTGCGTGTGAAAATTTTCAATGCTGTTTTTTTATGGAACCAGTGATCGGACTGACCATGGAAATATCAACAGAAAGCCCATCCATTGAATAATGATTCCTCTTCAAGAATAACACAGCCATTACATGGAAACAGATGCACTCCTCATCAGCTCGCAAGCAGGGCACGTGCGGCCCGGCACGCAGCCGATAAGCCGGTGGTCGCGAGTAGTGATTTTCCACCTCCCCTTGTATTTCTTGCCATTTTGGTCAAAAAGCCATGTAGAACCCTCATGTTTGCAGCTGAAATCCGACAATCGCGTCCCGACCCGCAAGCCTGCCGATGCTATGGCTAGGCCCACCTGTATTAAAGTCAATGTGTGAAGTGCGAGGCCTGGCCGACTTCCGGCGCCCCCTTTTTCTCCCTTTGGCTTTGTCGGCACTTTCGCTTTTGTGCCGACGTCGACGTTTCCGACATAATTGTCGGAACCTGAGTAGAAATAAAAATACGAAAAAGGGCGACGACCTAAATTATCTACTTTCAAAGTCGTGGTCGAGCCGCCATTTTGAATTTCGTTTCTTGACTGATTGTTCGCTTCTTTCAAGTCCGATTCACTTGTTCTACTAGAATCTAGATCTAGATTTATAGATCATTATTAACCTCAATGGAGGATTCATTTTCCAATTCTATTGTGTCAGACCCTATCATAGGTTGTGCTGTAATATTAATGTAGGTGAAAAGCATTTCATCAGGTGCTTGAATTATTTATTTAGATATCTCTAGATCTAGATATATAGATCTAGAATCTAGACTCATCGGCTGAGTCCCTCCTCTGTTAGGAATTGGATGCGGATTTCTCATTCAAGGCCTCCTATTCACTTGTTCTTCTAGCTAGATCTATATGGAGGATTCATATATTCCAATTCTATTGTGTTATTGTTTCAAACCCTATTATAGCAATGTAGGCCATATTGTGCTCCTTGGTTATTGTTTTTTTTTGGGAGTGGGTTTTTTTTTTCTTTCATTTTGGACTTCTGGCCTTTTTACTGTACATGAGGGCTGTTGCAGGTTCTTTTTTGGGGTAGGGTTTGGGTTAGGGTTAGGTCTCTTCTTTATTAATATATTGTGTTTGTTGGGGTTGTCGCTCGTTACTCGGAAGTCCTTTCTATTAATAAATTAAGCTCTTGGGGTGGGGGGGGTTGCGCAAAATTTTCAGACAATCTGGTCGAGGCTCACATGCAGGTCTAGCCATGTTTACGTCAATAAATTTCCATGTTCTGGTCATATGATAGCCCTAAAAAAATTGGGCTTGTTTTCTGTGTACAGATGTACATGCTTTGTAGGATAAGAAATAAGTTTTCTGTATTCTGTCTCTTAGTTTTGCATGAATAATTCCATCATCATAAGATAAAACCTTTGATTTTGTTTTGTAATAAACTGTTTTCAGTCTTTGTGCCACTAACACTGTTTTATGTTTTCTCTTCCCCAGAATCTGCCTTTCGACATCAACAACAAGGTGAAGCTGACAGTGTATTTCGCTCTGTTCTTCAGCAGCGGTTTGACTGCCCCATTCCTCATTGCCCGTCGTCACTTGCTGTTGACGTCGGCCAAGTAAGGCGTGCCGTGGTCAGGCTGTGTCGGAGAGCGAGTGAGGTGCCTGCAGTGAGGTGAGGGACAGTAGTTGTAGGCCTTAGCAATATTTTCTTTTGTCATCACTGGTGTTATTGTTATAAGGGAATGGGCTCTCTCTCTCTCTCCGTGTTATTTTTTTTCCTCTCGTCGGGGATTGTATTGTTGTTTTTTTTTCTTTCCCGATGCTTGACAAATTTTCAAGTTTTTTATTGGTTATCATGGAATTTGTCTCTCCCCACTTGATTGAGATTTTATACATATTCACTCAAACTTGCTCTAATTATTGCCTATCCAAGATAATCACCTGTACATGATGTCCATTTCCCACATCTCCCCTTGCGTTTAAAAAAAAATGAAAATAATACAATTACCCTGTCAAAAGACAACCACTTTTCTCTGTGACTATTGGTGGTCATCATGGACAATTTCTACCGTATGTTTTTCTCTTTCAAAATCAAATATGACTTGTAAGGTGAGGCTCTTTTGATCCGTGTCTCCCTTTTCTGCTGGCACCGTCTCAGAATGCTTCTGCATACTCGCACTTTAACCACCTGGATTTGAAATACTTCCTCTTTCTTTTGTATTGTATTTCAATCCTGCAGTTTTCTGTCCTTGCCTTTAGGAATCTTAACTTACTGACTACTGCTATTATTTGTCCATGCTAAATGAAGGATGCCTGGCATTTTAGTTTGTTTACAATAATTCTAGGATAATGATTTGTTAACAGTGAAAGCTTTATTGTATGTGTTGGGAAAAGCTTTGTTCCTTGGTTTTGTTTTGTTGGGGGAAAGGAAAAAATGGGGCTTTTTGTCAAAAATGAATATTGTATTGAAAAAAAAACAACCCCCCAACAAAAACAAACCAAGTTGGATGCTGTTAATATAATGATTTACTTCATTTTATTTTAGGTGTCTGTATTGTATTGATGGAAATAGAAATATCTTACCTGAGAATGACCCCCATTCAAGCAACAATAGGCAAAACAACCCAAATAGAACTGATTACAGTATAACACGGATACCTCGAACATAGAAGACCTGAAAGTATACATCGGCCGAACTGCGCCTGTGGTCCTGTTTGTTTTGCTTGTGTTTGAAAAAAATCTTTGTAAGATATCCCTCAAACTACCCAGGCCGGTCCTGACGAATTTGACTATTGGTGTTATACTGTCTGTACTCTCACACTTTCAAGTTTACGGTAGTTAAATATGACTTTTGATGACATTTTTTTCCGTATTTTAAAAATGGTTATATTGAGGGCTCTCGTGGTCGAGAGGTTACGATGTAGGCCTCTCATTCAATAGGTCCTGGGTTCGAATCTGGATAGCGACGGGAATATTTTCTTCTGTAAAATTGTCTCCTTTTCTGCTCTCTAACAATGTTCCGTCATCTGCTTTCGTCTCCACTTTCTGCCCCCGCTCCTTTGCCCTCTCCTCTAGGGCCCTGACTCTTTCTGCAGCTTTTCTAGTTACTCCTTGGTTCCTTCTGACTGCTTTTTTTTTTTCAGCTACACCCCTGACTTTATGGTAGAAGATCTAACACCTAGCCCTCTCAGATAAGGGGGAAAAGTCTTGGCAGTCCCGTGAGCAAGTTGCACATGTTAAAGATCCTTTTGTAGTCCAAAAAGATTGTTATTATTATTATTTTGTCTCAAGTGCACCTCAAAGGACGTTGACTGTAGACTTCCTCGGCGGCGTAATTTGTTCAACTATTCCGTGTTTGTGTTCGAGCTCGCGTAATTTTCTTACAAAGATAAAGATGAAGAAAAGACATTGACACAGCCACTTCCTATTCCTTCTTGTGACCCCCTGAGGCAGTGCCACTGACTGAAGTGTCTTTAGGCCATTCCCAAAGCGGGGACATATCTCGTTCAAGCATAGTAGAATTGTAAATGGGCTGACTCATGTCACGCTCATAACTGTGCCTGATCTACAACAGGGAACTGCTGCTTTTTCTTTCCTGGTCCTTACTTTTGTCATTCCTCAACTTCTTTTGTATGTTTGTCACTCTCTTGTGACATGCTATTTTGGGGTGCGTTGATAGTCGAAGCAGACCTTGTGCTGTTGAAGCTAGAGAGGTGAGCAGTCTAAGTCTGATTCCCTGTAAATTGTAAAGACTTCTCTGTTGACACCCACCCCTTGGCGCTCATATGACCTTCTACTATATACTATATTCCTTCTTGTGTTTAAAAAAATGTTTCCCGTGTGGTGGCACTGTGTGTGTAAGACGGACACTTTTCTCCTCGGCAGTGGGTGGCCGTTTTAGACGTTCGACTGTTTGTCCCACGAAAACTGCCAGACTTCAGCCGTGTTGGGTTTTAGTCGGAAGAAATAAGAAAGGTCAGATTGGATCATGGTCATATCTTGCAGGCAACTGACAATAGTGTAAACCCGTTTCCAGTTCCAGCGTGGTTTGTTTGTTGGTTGTTTTTTTTTTAAGTTAAGTTTTGATGTGTTCACTCTAGGTGTTGCGGACACAAGGCCGTATTGTCATGAAAGACTGGTCATTATTATTGTTTTCCCGAGACTTGAAACTACGGACTAATAATAGTTGTATTGATGCGGAAAAAAACCCTCAATTTTGACTATCTACATCTTTTTGTGATTTCCATTATATTTCTTTTTTTTTAATATTTCCCAACAGATGAGTGTTCGCAGTTGGTTACAGGAAAGTCGTCTGCCTTGGAGGATCCCTAAAAAGCCCAAATTGTGGAGCCAGAACTCTGATCAATATGTCAGTGGTGTATTTAGATCCATATACAATTTGTAAAATGTAAAATGTGTAACGTTTCATCTTTACATGAAATTTCTAGTAAAAAAAAAGTTTTGTTGGTGTTTGGCTTTTGTATTGGCTATACAAAATGTACACACAAATTGATTTTGACAATACAGGAAGACGTTATACTGTAACAGTTAATGTAGTTTTGTTTTATTTTATACTGTTATTGGTATCTTTACTGCAACTCGAAGCTCGTCAATTTTTAAAATTTTTTTTTTGGTATAAACGTCTGAAGGAGTACCTGGATAGATTGTCGCATATACTTAGCGTGAATGTCACTGGTTGATTGTCTAATTATTTCTTTGTAATAAATTTTCTTGAGAGCAAAATTAAATTTTTGTTTGTTTCGCTTTTGGTCTTCTACAACTACTGTAATTTGTGTTTTGCTTGAGTTCTTTGTCCAATTAGACACAGACTGTTTTGAAGTTGAAGCTGTGACTCTATGATAGAAGTAAATATTTAGGAAGGAAACGTGACAGAAGCAGTGTAGTAAAGTGAACCAGAGACACGCACATGATACATCCAAGCATGGGTGAATGTTCATGCTATTCCTTCATTATAGTTTCTTCATTCTCTGAGAGAATTTAAAAAAGCAATGGGTGTGCTAGTTGCTGTGTGTATAATATAATGGATAGAATTTCTGTTTCATCTCCTGTCCTATTTTTCTCCTCTTCTGACTCCTGCACTAGTTATTTGTGAGGCGTGCTGACAAAATGAGTTACTTCTCGCTATCAATTGTATTGGAGATATGATCAAATGGAGATCTATGCCAAAAATCGACACACAGGTCGTATTTGTAGATTCTAAACCAATGCCATTGTCTTTAAGTTGATCATGTCTTTTATTGTTCCATACTAATGAATTGTTAAAAACTCAACCTGTAATTAATGTGACGCATCTATTTCCATCTGGCTAAAATCTGAGAAGTTACTCATTTTGCCTGCACACCTTACATTTCTTAGTCAACTGTAAATGGAGGGCCACAGTTGCAAATGGTGTAGATTTGAAGCTACAAAGACTACCTCAAGACAAACTGCATGGGTCAAGCCTGCTAGGAAAGGGATCTTCATGTTTTCAGGCATGGTTGCATTAAACATTTTTTGCTCCTAACCATGCTACAAACACATGTTTTTTTTCCCTGGCAACGGGCCAGATGAACTGACCTCCTGGTCTGTGGTTTTTGTGATCGCTGGCTACGAAATCTCTAACTGTAAGAATAAAGATCCACTTTCAAAATGACACCAAATCTATTAATCTTCAACACAAACACCTACTTGTGGGTGCTCTGGTGTGGTTTGCTTCTTCTTTCCTATCAAACGTCTATCGTCTTTATCTCCCCTCCTTTTTTGTGTTTGTTTCTCTCTCGTAACACCTCTAATCTTCGGCACTTATGACCTTATTGTGTTACGAGTGCTGTACACTTACTAAAACAAAACAAACACCTTCTCTAATGGCTTCATCTCCTGAGTGGAGAGAAGAATTTAAAAATTTATTATCTCTATCTTTCTGCTTGGATGTTGTCTTCTTAATCTGAGATAATCCTGACACTGACACACAGGGTTGGAAGCCTGCCTCCTAAATGATCTAAGTTGTAAAAAACACCTACAATTTTTAAAATATGAGGTGTGCTGACAAAATGAGGTACTCCAAATAATGTGTGAATGGGGTTATCTGTCGAAAATCAACACAGGGGTTACATTTGTAGATTTTCAACTGGTTCCATTTCTTCAAGTTTAACAAGTCTTTTCATACATAAATTCTACAAACTCAGCCTATAATTCATGATAGTTAAAAATATGACGCATCTTCTATTGTATCCATAGAAGGCTAAATTTTGAGAGGTAATCTACTTCAATGCAGTTGTAACTCATTTTGTCAGCTCGCCTTACACTTACAAAAAAAAGCTTTCTTTGACTCTCCCTTTATTGACATTGCCGTTGTCAGTGTCGGCGCCAGTCACAGACTTGAATTTTCATTTGATGTTCTAGAGTGGATGGTTTGTGGGTGCTCTGGTGTGGTTTGCTCCTTCTTTCATATAGATTAAATTTTAATTCTATCGTCCTTATCTCCCCTCCTTCTATTTTGTTTTTGTTTCTGTCTTGTAACTCCTCTAATCTGTGGCACTTATAATATGACCTTATTGTTTTGCAAGTGCCGTAAAACACTTACTAAAACTAAACTGATATTCTAGATCTGGTATTGTCGTGGCTGCTACTCATTGCTTTCTTATTTTTTAAAATTTGCTGGGCTGGCTCGCACCCTGAGCTCGCAAATAAAGAGGAAAATACATGTACCAGTTTTACAATGGGCGAGAGTGCATGCAACACTTCCCCCCCTTACCCTTAATTTAGTCCCAAGTTGAGTAGTAAAATGGTGTGCTCTATAAATGTTAAACATCAGAGTGCAGTCTTGGATGATATTATTCATTCTATGGTGCCAGTGGCTTTCATAGACCTTGCAGTGTGTGTGAGGTCTTTATACTAATACTAATACCAGACTCAACGAAAGGAGACAAGTTCCTCATTTTCTTGTCATTTATATATCTTACAACAAATTAACTCAAATTTTACAAACACATAAATGAGGAAACTTGTATTCAACAAAGTCGCTCGTGGGGTGAACAGCTCCTGGCTTACGTATTTTTCTCCCATAATAACGAACCTTGTTTAATCTATTCCAAGAGACCCACCGTGGCATCTGTACTACTGAGGATCATCACACTCTTACCCTAGCCTGTTGCACTGATCGATCGCCTTCATGTGTCGCCTGGGTCTTTTTAATTTAGTTATCGAGCACATTAATAAATTTGTAGGCCTACATGTGTTATAACATCGGTAGAGAAAATACAATATACGTGTACTAGTGTCTGTAGTGTAGCGGTCAGGCACTTTGCTGTCACATGCAGAAGACCCAAGTTTGATTCCCAAGTGGGGAGAAATAATTTGTTGAATATCGTATTGGTCTTTCTGTCACGATATTGATAATTGAATCTCTCTCTCAGCCCTGGTTGGACTTGACATGCAGGGTTGGAGGCCCGCCTCCTAAATTATCTAAATTTTGTCCCGGGGGGGGGGGGGGGGGGGGCAGGGGCATAAAAGCACCTGCATTAATGAAAAAGATAAATAGAACGTTCATGGACTGCTTGATCATTGATAATGGCCAAGATATAAAACTCTAATTGTGGGTGGTCTGTTGTGGTTTGCTCCTTTCCTAATCTATCGTCCTTATCTCTCCTTTTTTTGCTGTTTGAATTTGTTACTCTCTTATAACACATCTAATCTTCAGCACTTTTACGACCTTGTTGTTGTATTGTAAGTGCAGTAAAACATGTGTCAAATAAGCACACAAATTACATTATAATTGACTTTGCCACTTTACTTAATATATTTTTATTAGAAAAAATCGTTTCCACTGCATTAATTGTTTCTCGTACCAGTCATTAAATTTACAGGCTGTAATAATTACAAGTGTATAAGTATAAGGACACAATTGATGACCTACTATAATTAAGTAATACGTAATACAGGGAAAAGTGCTTCTTACTCTTACAAAAGCTGTGGAATTCCAAAAATGATATTAAACTGCAATGGCTTGCTGATTTTTTTTTTCGCTCCCAGGAATGGTACAATGTACTGTCAGAGGTTAATAAATTAGCTAAAAAATTAATAGGCGCTAAAGTATGATTTCCGAAGTCTGAGTATCTTTTTAAAAGGCAAATTTACATTTTATTTTTTTGGGGTACCGTACTTTTTGATCAACGTTTTTCTTGTAATCTGTTAAACCCACGTAAATTAATGTGGTTTTAAATGGACATTAGAGTAAAAGGTGTTGAGCCAAAAACAAACAGAAGAAAAAATCTATACATTTCTCAACTGGATGGGAAAATGTGGCTTTCATTGATTGAACTACTAGTTGACGAGCGCCTGATTTTCCTAAGATTATGATGCCTCACAAATTTACAGTAGAATTTGTAAAAGCTGGAATTCCCGATTATCACGCGAGCTTCTGGTCAGGCGAGTTTCTTAAAATAACGGCTCGCAACACAACCAAAGACCTTGACATTAAACGGAACTTACACTGACGATCGAGGTAGTTTCCAGACAGAGACTCAACTGACCACTACCGACGCAGACTGCTGTCGTTATTGCATTTGCCAAAAGTTACAGTCCTGTACAGAGCTACTGGAAAGACGATAGAGTATAGAGATAGTTAACTTTTACCTCGTTAGCACCAAGTGAAGCAATTGTGTGGACAAGTCTTATTCACCGTAAGAAAACTGCTGAAGACATTTCCAGTTGAGCGCAGTCACATGCACACGCGACTTGCAGATTTTAGCCTCGTCAGCAGCATCATTATCATAACAAAGAGGTGAGTTCCATTTTTGACGTTCAAAAGTGTTAACAAGTAAATGCATTATATTTATAGGCCCTGAGATTCCACACCGTTGCCGTTGGAGTGGTTGGGTACTTTAACGTCTGGATATCTAGATCTAGATCTATTATGTTGTTAATTAATGCACTGCTTAGACTTAGACTTAAGAATTGTCCTCTGAGATTGATATATATATATATTGAAGTTATTGAATCGATAATTTGGTTTGCTACTAGATCTAGATCTAGAATCTAATTTGATTTGACATACAACAATCAAAGGGCATCGTCCAGATCTGCACGTTTTATTCGCATTTTAGAAGTTATTAAGGCTAATAATTAAGGTAAGGGGTTTAGTATATGGAAGAGGCTAG